GATGTCTGAATGGACTGAATATGCACGGTCCAGATGGTGCATGTTTAGTTACCCACGATTTATGATCTTTCTTCATCCCAAATGATATCATATTAGGGCGCGTTTGGTTCGCTTCCTCACCGCGCCACACCGCCCGCGTCGCGCCTTTTGGCGCTTGTTTGGTGCGCTTCCGCACTTTGCGGCTAAGGATGAAAACGGTACGGAAATATCCCGTACCGAACCACATCGTTTTCTACATTTAATCCGATCGAATTCGTATTTTCGGACAAATTCGGACAAATTCGAAATCGGTTCGAAATTCAGAACACCAAATTCAAAATCGAAACAAAAACGGTTTAGACATTTTTCGACCGTTTTCTACTTTTCTACTTTTAATTCGGAATATCCCGAATTCGAAATTTGGTTTCGAAATTCGGTTTAAACCAAATTTGGCCTATTACAAGTCTAACCTTAGAAAAATTATATCTTTTTCATACGATCTCGGATGAAGATGATTTTTATATGAAAATTGTAGCTCTCGACGAGATCTATAACTTTCTAGTTCTTAGTTTTTTCATTTGATGTCTTGAAGATGTTTAAAAAAATTAAACAAAGTCAGCGATATATTAATCGTGTACAAGCGCTTGTTGCCTTAAAAAAATTATATCTTCCTTACATCGTGTCGAATGGAGATACTTTTTAAGAAAGTTGTAGGACTTGTTAATTATTATGTACTTGTTAATTGTTATGCACTTGGTCCTATGGGTTAATAATCCGTATTGATTTTTCGTATACCGACCGTGTTCGACATAATTCCGCTTGAATTAGTTCGTTTTCGAAATTTTTGATATTCCGTAAGTTCGTGTTCGTTTTCATGTCCGGCTTTACCGCTTTCATTTTCGTTTTTGTATTTTAAATGTAGAAGTAGAAAACGATTGAGACGTTTTCCGACCGTTTGTGACCGTTTTCATCCTTGCTTGCGGCACCCCGCAAGCCTTGCAACCGCATGCTAGTTCATTTCCAAAGCCGTTTCTCGCCAAAAGTATGGCGTTGAAAACCAGCGCCACACTTTGGGTGCCGCCAAAGCCTGGGTGCGGCCAACCGTGGAAACGAAGTAAACAGACCCTTAGTACTACCCCACCTCATCAAAATACTTATGTTTTAAGTTGTTTATTTATACCAGACTAGTGCTGCGTCTTAATTATCCATGTACCTTTTAAATTATTCTGTGCTAATTAAAGGAATAGTACGTGTTTATATTAAAGAGGAAAAGGTGAAAGACGCGGGAACGATGGAAATTAAGGAATGAGGGAAGTGGATAAGAAATTTACGGGCACGTCCCACGTCTAAAACATTTAAGGTCTTGTTTGGATCTTGAAATTGAATTCATTTTAATAATTATAATTTAGACACATATTAATTAAGCTAACATGGTTGTATATGGATTATATTTGTATATTATTATCGGCTATACGGGATAGATACTTATGTGTTGCATTTTTACCGTAAGGGAGCAAGTTGAAGAACGTGTTATAAGTTACAAAGTAGAAACATAAAAATGTGATCTATAGAATCAATTTTCATCTCCCACCCTATGAATTTGAGATAGACTTATATGTAAACTTTGAAAAGTGGTGGAATATCAAATTCCAAGCCAAATAGACTCATTTATTAAGTAGAATTCAATTCCTCCAAATAAAAGGATCCAAACGGAAGTTTTTAGGTTTTCTAAAATCCTAGAACATCAAATATATTCTGAGATGGCGGGAAACGAAGACAAAGGAAGTACTGTTATATATAGTATATATTTCTCTAAGTAAGTACAGATATAGAAATTCTAATAAATCTCAAAGGTCGATTACCTGTGTTCTCGGTTTCATATTTAAGCCCGTAGTTAAGGTGGAAGGTGCAACATCAATTATTACCGTTCCATAATGGGGTTTAATGTTTAAGCCCTTATAGTTAAGATGGAAGGCGCAACGTCGTGGATTAGTATCGTATTGCTAATTGATGTGGAGGTAAAGGTTTACATGCTATATAAGCCCTCCTGGAAAAGGTGAACCATAACTACTATATATGGGGAGCCCCTAGGATTGTGAATCCATAAGTTAGTTAATTATTAGGTTTTCCTCAATATTATGCTGTCACCATAGTCTATTACATCCTGTCACCGGCGTGCATCGGTAATATGGGAGAGCATGTTTCGGCCGACATGCATCGATAATTAGGAGAGTAGGTCTTCAGAACTTCTCGGTTCTCGCTCGTGATCCTGCGCTGGAAGAGGGCGAATGACAAGCCCTTGATAAGGGCTTCACGCGACTTGCTCCCATTCTTCGCCATAGGTGACCTTCAGACCGTGACATGTGGTGTTGTGGTACTACTTCGACAAGTCCTCACACATCGTCGTCAACGTCGCTCCTCCACTTGCCACGACGTCTTACATATTTTATTTCTGTCATTATTTATATTCGAAATATAATCTTGTAAATGCCTAATTATGGAACGTGTACAAAGGCGAAAAACGAAACTAAGCGTGCAAGGACAAAGAAACTCGTTAATTTACCAAAGGACCTGCTATAATCGTGTGTGCAATCAGCAACGGCCTCCATCTTGTAGTAGGCGGAAGGAAATGAACCCAACTCTCTCGCCGTCCTCTTGCCACTCTAGTCGCATTGCATACTGAATTGGTTTGTTTCGTTCTGGTGCAGATGAGGGAAGAGGAGGGTCCCCCGGACTATCTATCTATCCTCCCCAATCATAAACTGTCCTGGTTCCGAAGGCAACGACACGCACGCATGCACATTTACTGATGTATGTACGTATCAGGCTACATATATGCAAGTGGCGACCGTACGTATGTTACTACTCCTAGTATGTATGTATATCCGGCCATCGCTCTGAAAGCCTGAATTCACAACCGCTAGCGGCTCGTCATCGGTCACATGCATCCTAGGATCAGCGAGTGGGGCCCAGCAATGTATTCGGCTCGAGAAAACCCCAAGCACAGGAGGGCCACATGCATAGGCTCGTTGATTGCCCTGGTTATTTGTTCATACAAATACAATTTTGCATACATTATTATAATTTGTTATAAATATAAATATATACCTCATAATACCGAGAATGTCTCCTTAATCAACGCAATTAATGCGTCCCCCCCCCTGGATACAGATCAGGGCGCGTTCTCTCGCTGACATTTGGACCCAGCCGCAACGCCGAGAGGGTTGTTTTTCCTTCTTATTATTATTATTATTATTATTATTATTATTATTATTATTATTACTGTGCACAGGAGTATTGCACAAACAGACTGCATGTGCACTGTGAACCCGTGACGACGATCCGATTCCGAGGAGAGCAGGCAGGGCTGGCAATCATGTCTGTCGTAGGATGGGACTCTGGGAGCAAGATCTGGCCCCGGCAGTAGCTGTCGCCGGGGGCAGACACAGCCGGAGAGGCAGGCCCAGCTAGCCAGGTCGTTGCGCGCCCGGCGCCCCACGCGCAGGTCAAGGTCGCCAGAGGCCCAGAGCCAGCCACCTCCACCTTCCCCTAAAGCTGTGACGTCACCCACCACGTGGCGACAGCGACCGTTGACGGGCAGGCAGGCGGAGGAAAACGTCCAGGTTTTCACACCGGGGCGCCGTGCCCGGTGCGTGCGTGCGATCGGGCAGTTTTCGCGCCGCCGGCTGGGGTGGGGGTGGCGCATCCCCAGTCCCCACCGGGTTTCGCTGCACCAAGCATCGTTGCGTCCGACGGAAAGCAAGCGGGCCATGGATCCATCCATCGATTCCACTTTCCAATTTCCATCGGGGCCAAGTGGCCAAGCAAAATCACAGGCCCTCCGTGCGACCGCGCCAACGACGGCGTACGCCTCCGCTCCCTTGCTCTAGCACAGCAGAGACCGGCCACTGATGCTGCCGCTGCAAGATGCCTGTGGAAGTTTGTTCCTGCGCGACAACTGACGAGGCCCCAGGCCTGTTGGCCGATTTCGGAAGGGGGACCGTGTACACATCATGTTCATGCATCATCTCGTCACCTGATGGGTACTAGTAGTAGTGATCACTCGTCAGATCGATCAACAGCTCCCGTCTACGACGACGTCTAATCACGCCACGCGCACGCACGGGATGGATCCGATCCATCAGCTTGCATTGCCCAATGACACTGCAGTGCAAATGATGGGGGTCTCATTAGTCCAAAAGTAACTAGGTACGTACGTACTCGGTAGTACTAGTATATTATCACCGCGTTCGTATACAATTCACATCGTGTCACTCCAGAGAAGAAGGGGAACTGAATTCATTACATTGATTGAAGGAGTACATTTACAAAGAGGGGTTAATTACAGCGATATGATTAGGCAGCTCGCTCCGTCGATCGGCCACCTCAGCACACAATCAGACAGTAATGATAATCAATCAATCAACAACATGCTTCATTTCTGCTCATCACTCAACGACTCCTATACTGCTAGCTAATCAGCTGATGGATGGCGACTACGTACACATGCTTCTATCGACCAAACACTAGACGCGGTTACGAGCACACTGCTGGCCGGCTGAAGCTGATTCGTTGTGAGAGAAAAATACTGTAGATTCTAGCTGATAAACCAGCTGATAAGTTCAAGCGAACAGGACATAGGCTACATATATATCTAGCTACCTAGCTAGCTAATGAAGATTAGCCAACCAATCACCACCAACCTGGAGCTACATACGAGAGGCCGCCGCCGGCGAGGTCTGGACATCTTGATCAGACCTCGTCCATGCCAAATCGGCGCGACCGGCCTTCCATTCCTCCATTCCCCTATGATGACGACGACGACGACGACCATGACTGCATCCATGTCGCAGGCCGGCTGATGATGCACTCCGACTCAAACCTCAACAACTGTAATAAGTTAATAAAATCAACCAACTAATCGATCCGGCAGCCGCGGCGGCGTCAACCGATCGAACCAAATAAATCAAACAAGTACTAGTACTACTCCGGCCGGCGGGCGGATCGGAGCCTAGCTAGAACTAGAACTTCCACATGTTGGAGTAGTCCGTGAAGCCGTCCAGCTGGAGGAGGTCGTCCACATGGAACATGTCGGCGCCCGCCTCACCGCCGCGGGACGGGCTCGTCAGCAGCGTCGCCGGCGCTTCCGCCTTGCAGTGCCTCCGTATGGTCTGCTGCGGCTCCCCGGCCTGCTGCTGGTACGAGTACGAGTACGACCCGCCGCCCACGGGGTTGTTGCTCGCCGCCGGCAGCTGCGGCTGCGGCTCTGCCTTGACGACTTGGTACCCGCCGCTGTCGCTCGTGCCCGCCGCGGCGAACGAGGAGCTGGAAGCCCCGCCGCCGGCGACCTTGTTGAAGTCGACGATGAGGCCGGCTTCGGCGTACGGCGAGTCGATGAGCGGCGGCAGGTCGGCGTTGTCGAACACCAGGTCGTCGAGGAAGGCCAGCGAGTCGCTGCGCTCCATGCCGCCGCCGACGGCGTGCAGCGGCGCCATTTGCCCAGCCTTGGCCGCCAAGTCTTTGTTGAACACCTTACAGACAGCCCATTCGCCCTGCACGCAACGCAAACACAAGACAACACAGCACGTTGAAAACAACCTCCAGGGACAGCCGGGAAGGGTGCAAAGAAAGGGGCGGAGGAGAAGAGAGGGGGAAAAAAAAACGAGATCTTGACATGTGAGCGCACGCGGGCGCGGCCGCCCGCCCGCCCGCCGCGTGGTCCGCCAGCCGCCCGGCCACGACGAGCACGAGGCTGGGCGGCAACTCATCATTTGGATCATGATGAGCTAGCTAGAAGGCGATATCATCCATCGAGACAAAAAAAAAAAAAAACGAGAGGATCTTTTGCGTGCGTACACACTACACACCTTGGCACCGCGGCGGAGGTTGGACGGCAGGCTTCCTTCGAGGCGGTACTCGTGCATCACCCAGGGCGTCTTGCCGCCGTGCGGCGCGCGGCCCGTGTAGAAGACGAGCGTTTTCTTCATCCCGACGAGCACGCGGTGGCCGCGGAAGATCTCCTTGTCCTTGCCCGTCGCCTTCCAGTACCCGCTGGCGGTGGCGCGGTTGGTACGCATCCCCGTCGGGTACTTGCGGTCCTTGTGGCAGAAGAAGTACCACTCCTTCTCGCCCATCTTCGCCTTGCCTGCATACGCATACGAACCGACGGCCGGCCGCCGCCGTTGTTAGCAGCGCTCTATCTATTTAATTTCGCTCCCAAATACGTAAATCCCAAATCGATCGACCCGAGGTCGACGGACTCGAACGAACAACCCGGCCACGGAGCTCGGAGAGAGCGAGGGAGCTGATGCTGTGTGATGGTGCTTACTGGGTAGATCCCACGGCTCGATCTTGTTGAGATCGACGTCGGCGATGACGAGGCAGGAGAAGCTGCTGTTGAGCGCCTTGTGGGTGAGGTAGTGCGACACCACCTCCTCGTCGGTGGGGTGGAAGCGGAAGCCCGGCGGGAGCTCCAGCCGCGTCTCCTCCTCGCCGCCCTGGTTCTGGTTGGTCTCCGACGACACCTCCGACGCCATGGCTCCTCCAACAACTTGTCACTTGTGAACAAGTACTACTTGTCTGCTGCAGGAGCGGTGAGCTCGATCGACCTCGCTCGCTCTTGGTTTCCTTCCTTCCCTTCTCTTCTTTGGTGTGGAATCGGGAATGGTGGGAGGGGATGGGTTTAGGAGAAGCGAAAGGGGGTCCCTTTTTATAGGGGCCTCTAGTGACGTGCGGGAGAAGGCAGCTTCCCGCCGAAGCTCCCCGCCCTCCCTCTGTCTCACCGAGTCACAGCAGCAGCAGCAGCAGTTAATTAGCTCCTCGCGCCGTAATTACCTTTAGTTATAAATAATCTCCGCGTGTAGTAATAATTAATCACTGCTCCTAATGATGCCGCCTAATTATGTGATTAATCTAATTCTACTACTCAATTAACCGCGTCCTTTTTCCCACTGCTCTCGATCACGCTTCACGCAGCAGCTGCTCTGTATTGGGTTGGAGCATAATCCTGGCAAGTTTGAAAGGACCCGTTCGTTTCAGAATATTCAGGAGCTCCGCAGGTACACGACGGCGCTTACGGCCAAATGTGCTACTACTACTAGTGCTTATCTTTGCGGCGAGAAAAATTCAACACACGACTTGAACTGAACTGGAATCGCATCGCAACATAATTCTAGTAATTTCTTACTAGCAACTTGCCTTTTTTGTGCGCTGGCGGTGATTCAGCCGTGCGCGAGCGAGAGAGGATTTTTGTTTAGATTCCCCCAGCTGTGGTCGTCATCACTGCTGCTCGTCTGAAAGATACCGGCAAATAACAGCGAGGTTTTAACGTATAGCGGGTTTGTTTTGCAGTGGAGGCCGCCGTATGTGGTGCGGCTGAACCACAAGCCTGGAAATTTTGGTTTTGGATTTGGAGGCGTGTGTGAGTCCAAAGCACATACTCCCTCCATATCGGTAAAGAAAAGTCGTTTAGACAGCATTTAGCATACCAATGAGTGGTTAATTATGATGTATTTTTTCCCGTTTGCCGTTATTAAATAGGGCTACGGGTATTTCCACTACAACAATCGTTGGCAGATGGATTGATTAGTGCGTTGTGGCCTGAGACTGGAGTAGCAAGGTTCGAGCCCTGTTTGGCCCAATTTTTGCCTGCCTGGCACTGTGCAGTCCGGTTTTTGCCGTTCGTGATTTTGCCTCTCTTTTTTCTCGACCGTTCGTGATTTTGCCTGATGCATGATTTCTGCTCTCAACTTTACCGATGTGTTCTAGTGCTCTGTCTTGGCATCTTTCTTTTTCATCTACTACTTCACGGTCGTCACCACACCAGCACGCCAACAGAGCCATCGTACGGGTAGCGCTTGCAGCGGCGGCGGCACCAGCCATGGGCGACGAAATATCTCCGTGGACTCCATAGCGTGAGCGAGCGAAGAAGGCAAGGAAGCAGGAAGGGGAGACAAGCGATCGAGCGACGCACTGAGTCACTAACTGCGGCCGCGGCGTCGCGATTAACGAAGGGTGGCGAGCATCGCAATTAATGAAGCACAAGGAACAAGAGCCGGGGGCAAACGCTTCCAAAAGAGTGTTAACAGAGCCAAAACGACTTGATTTGTGCAAATCATCTAAACCCTGGCCCCTAGAGTGATATATAGTGTATATTATCATCAGGACAAATGTCATGTCGTCCATTTAATAAATACAAAAAATAGGCTTATATTATATCGTGTGATTATTAGTTTATATGCAGATGAGCCAGAAACATCCAACTCAATCTTTTATTATGCAAAGACCACATCTTGGAAAATAATGTCATTCATGACCTTGCTCACACATTCTTATATGATATCTCTGATACATTCCAAGATGCAGTGCTCGCTAAGAAAAACTGTCATCAGCTCCATTATGTGACGCCACGAAATTCTTCTTGCGCTGCGTCACTCGTGACAGGATTGGCATGCATTGTGTGCCTTGTCAGCTCCAGTCAGAACGTGAACCTACGAAGTTCTTAAGAATGGAATGGAAAATATTTAGCGTGCCTGATTACTGCACACAAAAAATAGTGTTGTGCCACATATGCATGCATGAGTCCATGACTTATGAATGTCATGAGCAAGCTAGCTAGGTACAGTTTGAAACAGGGAAATCATGACCCTGAAATTTCTTCATTGGTCAGCCGCTTCGATAGTGTATCTTTAAAGCTGGAATATTCATATCAACGCCAGTAATTAAGCCAAATGCATAGTTTTTTTAATAGAGTGGAGCGAATGGTCATCTGTATATATTTTTTTTACAGGGAATCAATATTGAAATAATTTTTAATTGATTATATATTAGCATGCAACCCAGAAATTTCTCCAGCTTAGCACAAAGTCAGAATGCAGCACGTCGTTGACGTGTTCAGAACTACTAGGGGCCCAGGTTAGAAGACGAGAATAATTAGCGTTCTAGTCCCAATGGCCAATAGGAGGAGAACACGGGGTATAACTGTATAAGTATAAACAAATAGAGGGAGTGTTAGAGTATATTATTATTGTTATTAGAAGATGAGAACGATCCTTGTACATTTTTTTCTTGATATATATCTTGATGGATCTGCTCCGATCCTGTTAAGAATGAACTGCTGAACCAAAATTGAAGGTGAGCCAGCCCTGCTGCTGACTACTGAGAATGAAACACTTGTTTGATTAATAGGTGGCATAATGTCTTTAAGATTTTTTTGGGGGGGGGGGGCGTATTTGAGAGATTATTACCGTCACATAGTATTTTTTTTTTAAACAAAATAGGAGTTCTGCGACTCAATCAAGATGAAAGAATTTATGTATGAGACCGCCACGCAGTGTATATGACTGGAAGGTTCGTGCGCGCGAGAGAGTAAGAGAATATAACCTCAGCTGTGGTCAAGTGTCAGCTATCACGTCGATCATTATTGGTTTCCATAAACGCGGACAAGTCCTGCTCGTCATTCTTCGACAGCAACACTGTACCTGCCGTCGCCATTGAACTAAAAAAAGCTAGCGCCTGTAAGTATTCAGTGTTCATTCGTCTCTCAGGACGATCACGATCGTATACATACATACATACATAATACATATATATAGATATATGAATTGGAACCAAAGTCTCGTTCGCACTAGCCCGCCCATAGGGGTAGTACATTATATATATTATATATACATATAGATATATAAAATTGGCAATGTGGCATTGAGAAACGAATAAGCTAAGCTCCGGGGGAATTGAACTGGTAGATGATCGGAAGATTCCGTGGAAATGTTTTACTCCAATGCAAAGGCGGCGGACAAGGATTTAAAAATTGGGGCAGGATTTGGTTTATGTGGCTTGGCATGATCGTCGCAGAGGAGAGGATGGCAAGAATTTGCTTGAACTCAAAGGGCAGGAACAGAGAGGGGGAATATATGGCGGGTGAACAAGCCTTCCTCCCTACGTAGTACTAGTGTAGTGCTAGTGCAGCACCGCCCATTACTGCTTTTTCGTTTCCTTGGCCGGATGATGTATGCATGAGCATGATTGCTCCCTTTTTCTCTTCCGATGCCGATCCGGTCCTGAACAAAGGAATAAACAAGGATTACTACCATTGCTGCTTTTCAGAGATTTGACATGAAGATAGGCATATTGAGCACTGCTGTTTCGCGCCCTTTCTGGCTGCTGCCGTTCCATATCCGTGTATTTGCTTTGATTGAGGGTAAATTTAGAAATGATACAGATATATAGTTATGGATTTATGATAAGATCATCTATCTACGGCAACTGTTTCGTGGATGGATAGAACAAAATACGTACCTTTTTATAGTTGGATCGGATGGATAAGAATGGATGAGACGAGACTGGAGTAGTTGACTAAATGTGGAGTGTTTTTATTTATTTTTATAAAAACAACAACTAGTTATATACTACTTGTAATATATATGCATTAACACTATTTTTGACATGGTAATTACTAATTACAAATAAAATATGTTACTCGGAGCTACTACATTGATTGGGAGCCAAATCATGCACCTTTTCAACGTACTACCACTTATCAAAACTAATATTTACATTACATTTACTAAGCGACAATGCAATATATTAATAATCCTTAATCTAGTTACTAATGACCGAGATTAGAAAACGTGGATGAGTTTGTTTAGCAGTAGATTTTTAAGAACATACTCCACTCATCTAGCATCTCCAGAGGATATTCTTTTAATGCTTACCCTTATTAAGTTGGCACCGTATCAGGTGCAAATCAACTAACATGTGCAAACTTTGAAACTACCAATCAGGACCACTAGATGTTGATCCAGTGGATGGGGTGAGAGGCGGGATTTTTTTGCGCTTAAGCCCCCCACCCGCTGGCCCTTTTTGCGCTTAAGCCCTCTCACCACATCTATTGGATCAGCATCTAGTGGTCCTGATCGGTAATTTTCAAGTTTGCACAGGTTGGTTGGTTTGCACATGATATGTTGCCTATCAAGTTATCCACGAACCAAACAATACTTATCCATGGATCACCCTCTCTTATCTAGACATATCCTTTGGACCACACACACCCCTAGATAGGCTTGCCAACCTTGACACGGGGTGCTGGGTGCGATTGGAATTGGAAGACACGGTGAGTGAGTTTTACCTTATTTAGAAAGGGCGTGTTTGGAGCGCTGGCCCGACGGCCTGGCTGCACCCTCAGCTGCAGTGCGCGTGTTTGATGTCCATGGGCCACCTCCCAGCACGGCTCGCACGCTGCTCAAAGCACAACCGCAGCCTGGCTCCAGGGAAACGCTTCTCCCCTCCGTTTTTCTAGAGCTCGGCCGCGCGTGGATCCTCGCAGGTTATTTCGGCGGCGGCGGCAGGCTCTCGCTGGCTTGCGCGGGAAGGGTGAAACCTCCACGCGCGCTTCCGCTACCGGTGAAATCCGCCGCCTTTATAAGTGGCCCCTCCGGCGCTGAGCTCCTCTCCTTCTTCTCCCTTGCTTCTCCACCAAATCCCGTGAGAGACCGGCGGTGTGTTGAGGTGTGGTGTCCGGCGAGGCGGCATTCTTCGT